TTTTAAAGAGATTTGAGTGGTGTTGTTAAAAGAGAAAGAGATTCAAAAGAACTTCAAGGGATTTGTGTGGGGAAGTGCTTGAGATAAGTTGTGCTTCTTACTTTTTTTGTTGTGAACTTGTTTTTACATATAAAATCTATGTTTTGTTTTATCTTACCCATTAATTTTGAGTAGATTTCTTTGTCCTTCTCCCTAAAATGAGATATATTTTTGTGATGAATCAAAATTGTTGTGTAATAATTAAATGATAATAATTGTGATAATTTAAACTTAGAACTTCGTTTACTTTTCGATCTGATCAATTGAAATGTTAAAATTTGTTGTGAAACATACGATTTGGAAGGGCTATGCATTCTACAACAAAGTGAGAATCACATTAAATTTCATGGATGAGAATGTAGTCCATGGGGTTGAGTGCAAGTAAATAGGAAAATATACTTTGATGCATGTAGAATTGGAGATATTGGGGTAACAGACTAAAATCCACAATTTGGTCTAAGCATTTGAAAATTAAAGCGAGATGTTAATCCTCAGGCGAGGGGAACATGGGAGCTTTAGAGTGAGAGCAAGTATCCTCCTAGCCTAACTGCAAATTTAGGGATCAAAACTTGGATTAGCCAATATTCTTTTTCACTCATAAAGAGGAGAAAGAATAGGAATGCTCCTATTTTGTAAAATACAATTTTGGACAATTTGAATCATTCACTAACCATAACCTCATTGTAAGGGGAATGATACTTTCTTAAATTTGAACTCTTTGTTACTAAAACTTAATTTAATCTAGTAAATTTAACTTCAAAAATTAGAAATTAGCTTAGAAAATGTAGTTCTATTAGTTACATTAAAACACCATCGACTTGTATTTCTTAATGGAGTTTTTACATAGTTTGAATATGGTGTATTTGTGCTACTATCATAAGTTTATTGCCTCCCTGTGGGATCGATACTTAGAACTTTGTTAAAGCCCTTTATTACTTGAGCGATACGTATACTTTTGTTTGCATCATAGTAATGATATAAAAATTATCAAAAAGCCTTAGTTTATTAGGAGTGGCAGCTTTAAGATAAAACTAATTAAACTGAAGTTAGATTTATTATGACTGATATTAATATTTCCTATAGTAAGCTGCTAGTGTATTGTATTGTTTAAAGACATTTATAGCCTATTGTGAACACCTGCATCATGGTGACATATTTAAGGTAGCTTTAAGCTTGAGAGGGTCAATTTCAATCCTTCAATGACAAACGACAAATCCTAAGAATTTCTCTTAGGTGACATCAAAGACGCACTTCAAAGACGCACTTTTAAGGAATTCATCTTAAGATTAAATCATCATAATTGTTAAAAGATGATTTCTAAATCTTACACTTGATCGTCCATTTGTCTTCTATTGACGACTAATTCATCCACATAACACTCGACTTGGTTGTGGATGAGTTCATCGAAGATCCGTTTCATAGCTCACTAGTATGTTGCTCCAACATTCTTATAATCAAAGGGTATTACTTTATAGAAGTAGATCCCAGTGGGTGTTCTAAAATCCATGTTTAGTTCATCTTCTACAGATATTTTGAACTAGGTTTAGCTTGGCGATCCGTCCATGAACGAGAAGATTGTCTGTGCTGATGCAATGTCCACCATCAATTATGGAATTGGTAAGGGGAATTCATCCTTTGGGTAGTCCTTATTTAGATCCTTATAGTTGACAAAAAATCAGATCTGGCCATTGTTCATCTTTACAAGCATTGCATTGGTTAGCCAAGTTGGATTTTTTTCTTCATGGACAAAGCCGACATCGATCAATTTCTTAACCTCATCTATGACCCATTGTTCTATCTGTACACACCTTTTCCTTGAAGCTTGCTTCACTGGGACTACAATTTGTTCAAATCCAAGTTTGTGGAATGCAACCTCCAAAGCAAGTATGGGCATGTCGTCATAGGTCCAGGCGAAGTAATCTTTATATTCTTTCAACACTTAGACTATTTATTTTACTTCAGTATCATTGAGTAGTGAGCTAATGAATGTTAGTTTTAGGACCTTCTCGGTTCCCAAATTAACCTTTGTTAGTTCATCTATTGTTAATTTGATTTCTTCCTTAAATTTTAGTGGTGCATCTTCAATCGGAGGTTCTTCAGAATTGTTGGATGCTTCTGCACATTTTGTAATAGATTCTTCGACACAATTAGACAAAATTTTGTGTTATTTAGAGGCCCGATCGTGCTGAATCCAACACCCTCATTCGAATTACAATCATTGTATTTATTATTTTATAGTTGTTCAAGGAGGTGGGGTTGATCTGTCAATCACTATTTTGGTATCAGACCACGTTGACATATAGTGTTCAATAGGAAGTTCCATTAATTTTAAGAAATTATCTTCTTCCAAACTTACATCTATTTCAGAACTAGAAAAAGAAGATCTAAGACGAAATATAATGGATTTCATACCCTCACTACATACCACTTTGACCACCCAACCCTCAATTTTGTATGAAGAAATCAAAGTTAGGGTTATATTTTGTACATAGTGATTAATTCTTTCGTACATTGACACATATTCTTCTTTTTCTTCTTCATCTTCGACTGTTATTTTGAATTGTCATTTTTCCTAAGTTATTATCATTGATCTTTTCTTCTCTTTCTTCCGTGGAACTAGAATCCAAGTTAATGTTAATCCTTAAAGTTTTCTTTATATCAAAGGATGGGTTTTCTCTCCCTTTTCCTTATCCCTAGCCTTGACCTCAGATGTGAGTTTTTGAGAATTTACCCCTTTGTTGTTTAAGGGCATGATATTTGTTGAATTTCTTTTCTTCTTCTTTGATCTCTTTTTTGAGTTCTTTATCGACTTCCCTATTTTTATCCTTTTCTTCTGCACTTGCCACCATATCTCGGGAGAATACCATTATCTTCAACAGAGTTTAACTGGAAGCATCTTCATGTATCTTGATTTCATGTACTGAAAATGATTGTAGGTCTCCTTTAATGTAATACTTCTGTCGTTCATAAGGTTATTTAATGCATTGATGCAGCAATGAAGGGAACATCTTGTGCTCATATAGCCATGGTCAACCTAACAGAGCGTTGAAAGATGTTTCAGAATCTATGACATAAAATTTTGTTGTTGGCACTAAATCGCTGATCTTTAAGAGTAGTGATATCGAACCCACGACACTTTCTCCTTTTTTATTAAAGTCACGTAGCATCATTTTGTTTGTTGTTAGCCTACAGGAATCAATATCCAGATATGCGAGTGTCCTCAGTTTCACAATGTTGATAAAGGTACCCAGGTCAATAAGCACACTTGAAAGCATGGTGTTTTAACATTCACCGAGATATACAACAGACAGTTATGTTCAGTTGTTACCAACAGTAGATCATTATACAAAATGTGACTTTGGACTGTCCCTTCAACGTATAAGCCTCATCTGAGGAAGCACTAGCAAGTTGAGCTAAGTTGATCTTGGAATCCAAGAGAGCTTTTACTAATAACTCACACACTTCCTTGGAGAAGATCAGGGCATCATAAATGCTCAACTTTGTTAGTACTTTTCTAAGATGGGCTAAAACATTGTTGCTCACTTTATATAAGATTCGTAATGTTTTCTTGAATTAATTTCTCTTGTACCGACGAAATCACTTCTTTGAGTACGACCATTTGTTTTGCTTTATCTTTAGGAGCTATTTTTGAAGGTAAAACTTTTCCGCTCCGTATATTGACCTTAGTTATCTCTTCTTGCTTTTGTGCCAAATTTAGAGTTTCTTTTGGAGATACATCGATTGATTTTTCTAAAGCCATTTCAGAGTCTGAGAATTCCAACTTCATGGAAATTAGCACTCTTTGTAATTCAAGTGCAACAATATTGTCATCTGATTGCTGTTATCATAGTCATTGTTATTATTACTATTTTTGTTATCGCTGAACCCATCGAGATTGTGTACAATTTGAGAATTGTCTATGGGATCGAAATCAAATTGATTATTTTCGAAACCGTCGTCGTTAGAAACAGATAAAACGTAATCGAAATAATATGTGGTCAAAATGATTATTTTAGTCTGGAAGGAATTTTTGAGCTTACAAACTTATCTTTCCAATCTCTATTATTATGAGGCACATAAAATCAAAATTTTCTATTTTGATAACAGTTTAATGTGTAATATTTAAATCATAACTATTTACACAACCAACACTCAATGATAATATCACTCGAATACTAAAGCATGACATAAGCAATAATAAGTGTAATAAAACTACAATACATACATCTAATTCTTAGAAGATTATTAATTATTCAGTAGTGATATGTACAAAATATAAATTTACTAGCTTACTTATTTAGATTGAGATTAAATATAAAAATTTGAATGAAACATAATTAATTATTTTTTTAGTAAAACAAAAGATTATTATTTATGGGCAATCAAACACATTTTATGGGTGGATGTGATCATATGAAAATTAAGCCACTCATTTCATGGAAGGTCTTGTGACAACTCAGTCATAAAAATTAGTCTTGGTCTTGTGCACGGCCCGCTGTTCTTAAAATTTCTTAAATTTTTGTTACTCAAAGTTCCCATTCCTCACCACTAAGTCAACTAGGGCTATTATTAAGTCAATTTTAAGCCGAGCTAGGGTTGGTTTAAAATTTACTCGAATGGATTGAGTTTGGATCGAAATCAGCTCGTGAGTCGTTATGTTCGATTTTGAGCCAGCTCGACTTGAAATTGAATTGAGCTCGATCCGGCTTGAAATTGAAATATGCTAGCTCAAATTTGAGTAATTTGGATCTTTTTCAATTTGAAATCAGCTCAATCCAGCTCAAAATCGAAACAAGATAGCTGAAATTAATTTGCTCTGAATCTTTTCAAATTGAAATCGAATTGTAACTCTTATATATATATATATATATATATATATATATATGGCTGGAAAAAATTAGAATCAAATTTTTATATTGGAAATTTGGAAGTAAAAATATGGCTGGAAAAAATTTCGTACAAAATTTTGGCTACCCGTTTCTAAAATTAGAATCAATTTCGAGCGATTTAGGATCTTCGAGCTAAATCGATTGCCCTACCCGTAATTTCTATCTAGGGCACGCAAATCCCCGTGGCAGGTAAGAGAAGAGGCAGCAGGGTTCAAGAGGGGCAGCTATGGCTTTGAATGGCGGAATCCGATCCGGTCTCAAGCTTATTACGTCAAATGAATCACTGTTATCAAAATCAGGCAACCATTCTCTTTCCTTCGTCAACTGCTGCAATTCAGCCATTGCTAATCATCTCTAGCTTTTTTTTTTCTCCCTTAAATTTGCATATTTTTTCAGTATTTGGGATTGCGTATGCCTTTGCATTTCCAGTGGCCGTCCGATGCATTGCTTATCTACGTTCTTTGAGGCAGTTGATCTTTTACATTGCGTAACAATATAATGTGTAGCTGGTATTGACGTTGGTTTGATTGATTCGTATTCATGCTGCCACTACCTGATAACAACCTGATGGTAGTTTTGAGTCATTCAATTTGGTTTTCTGTTTGTGTTTTCGAAGAAGCTTTCACCAGAAGAAAACTTTAGTTTTGGATTAACAACCTTCTTGGTTGTTATTAGGGTGTGCGTGTATAACCCAATTTTCACAGCCTACTTTATTAAGTGTGTTTGATTTTGGTTATGTAATTTGACATGTAGGGGTAAAATCCTTATCTCAAAATGTATGTTTCTTGAGGCTGCATCGGCTTTGGATTTGATTACAACAACAACAAGTCTTTGTCCCACTAAGTGGGGTCGGCTACATAGAATCTTTTTCTCCATTGTCTCTTGTTGTGAGTCATATTTTCATTTAATTCTAATAAATTATGATTATTTTTAAGACAAAATGCTAATTCTACCTATACTTTTCTATACATAAGTCAAATTTAAAATATATACTTTCCTATTAGGGTCATCAGATTGTCAATATTTAATATGAACAAGCCATCTATGATGACTCTCTCGAACCTTGTTTGCACCGGAGCTATTCCAACCTTTTCGCAGATATATTCGTTTCACATTATGTCTAAGTATAATGCCGCTCATCCAGAGCATTCTCATCTCATCAACACTTAATTTTATGCTTCTCTTTTACAACCAACATATTGCATCATAAGACATTCTAGGTTTCACCACCATCTTATAAAATTTTCTCTCAAGTCTAAGAGATACTTTTCTATCACATAATAGACTCGATGCATTCTTCCACTCCAACAGTCCAACTTAAACTCTACTAATAACATTCCCATCCATATCACCATCACTTTGAACAATAGAACCAATATATCTAAAACCTTCACTCATTTTAATGACTTGATTGCCAATTGTTACAATCCCACCACCCGACCACTACTACTAAAATTACATTTCATGTACTTAGTCTTGAATCTACTCAAAAGAAAGCCTTTAGATTCTAAAGTTGACCTCCATAAATCTACTTTTCTTGAACTCTCTTTCTAGTCTTATCCACATGAAAGATATCATCAGTGAAAAACATACATCATGATACCTCATCCTGTAAATGTCCAGTATGAACATCCATAACTAAAGCAAAAAGATATGGGCTTAAAGTTTATCCTTGATGTAATCCATCTGAAATAGGAAAATACTTGGTAAATCCACCTTATGTTCAAACACAAGTAACAATTCTAGTATACATATCTTTAATGACTTGAATATAAACAATATCAACTCCTTTCTTTTCTAGAATTCTCCAAAATATTTCTCTTGCAACTTTTTCTTAAGTTTTTTTCTAAATCAACAAAAATCATACGTAGATCCTTCTTATTCTCTTTGTACTTCTCTATCAACACTCTCAATAAATCTATAACTTCCATATTGGACTTGCCCGACATGAATTAAAACTGATTTTGAGAAATCCTTATATCGCGTTTTAATCTATTTTCAATTATTCTTCTCGATAACTTTAATGTATGATATTAATTAAATTCATCTATAATTGACACAATGTTGTGCATCCTTTTTATTCTTAAAAATAGAAACTAATTAAATTTTCTCTACTCATTAGACATCTTCTTAGTTGTTATAATAATAGTAAAAAAATAGTAAGTTTAAAAATGCCCAGATCTCCTAAAAATTTTCACATTTCTATTGGAATATTATTAGGTTCTATTATTTTTTCATTCTTCATTTTCCATAAAGTCTCCTCAACTTCTATTTCATTAATGCGATGGTGAAAATACGAAAAAATTATTATTTACGATTTTAAGATTACTAAAGACAATCATATTTTCAGAGTTTTCATTGAAAGTTTATCAAAATATCTCAGCCACTTTTGTTGAATATACTCATCTAAGATAAATACTTTTTGACTTCTACATTTTACTTGAACTAATTTTTTTTACTTTTATCGTCTCTTTAAAATACTTTTTGACTTCTACATTTTACTTGAACTAAATTTTTTTACTTTTATCGTCTCTTAATGAGTTTATACATATATCTTTCACACTATTTAATATGTAATCTATCATAACGATTATTAAAATAAAATTCTTAGCATCACAAAGTATTCTTTTAGACTCCCTATTGGCCATCTTATTGCCTTTTTCCCAAATCTCTAAATTTTTACATATATACTAAATTTTTTTATATATTTTTATTTTTTTATCATTTTCTTGCACATTTTATTCCACCACCAACTATTTTTATTCATGAGATTTTTCTTTTTAATTTTTCAAACACATATTTTATAACTTGCTAAATAGTGTTCTATACATCATATATTGTATTAACTTCTTCATGAGCATCCCATATCTTAAAATCTTAAAGTTAACTCATAAAATTAATTTTATTTGTCTTTTAGTTGCCCACGTCTAATTTTATGACAATATTTCATTTTATTTTTTATCATTCAACATTTATTTTAAAAGTAAAAATTAATAATTGATGTTGAGTACTTAAATTTTTATTTTGAATGATCTTATAATCTTTACAAGCTCGACGATCTATTTTTCTCAAAAAAATAATTAGTTTACATTTTATTAGATTTATTCTCATCATTGTTAATATGCTCATGCTTTTTTTAAATAAAATATTAGCAATAACAGAATCATAAACTAAAAAAAATCTAATATGACTCAATCATATTCATTAGTCACTCCCAAATCATAGCCACTATGAATGCTTCTAAAGTCTTTTACCACTCTACCAGTATGTCTAGTTAAATCTCCTATAATAAAAAATCTTATTTCTAGAGGTATTATGTGAATTAATTCTTCTAAATCATTCAATTTTTTTTTCATGTACTTATATCCAAAATTATATGAGGAGTGTACACCAAAAAATGATATGTATGAATCTTGAGACAATCTAGCAGTCCATATCAAAAGGGTAAAATAAAGATCACCACTTAACGAAAAAACTGCAAGTACTCATGAAGTCGATCGGTTGAAAAACTACCACCCGACCCGTTGTTTAGCCATCCAAAGGGCTGGCGACTAACTATAGACGAGCAACTCAAGGCCGGTCTGACAACCAAAATGGCCACCCAGGCTGAGCAGAAACATATATTCACGACAATGAACAAATAAGCGTGTAATAACCCCAACAAACTCTCACAACTATCAACGTGAGGCTCTCTCAATAACTCCCCCAAGGATATCTTGAAATCAGAAAGGAATTATAATCAAACACACTGATCGACCTCATTTGGGCTGATTGGCTACTTCTCTCAAAGTCGGCCGACTTCCTAGAGCAAAAACAAACTGATATTAGACAAAATAGCCAACCAACACCAGATTTGCCGACCAAGGTTCAGGCTAGATGAAAAGGTACAAGGGTCAGTTACAAATACAAAAAGGCAATATAAAGGACAATAATGTCCTATAATACTCTTATTAAAACAATGACAGTCATGTAATCTTTCACCTTTTTTTTTCCTTCTATCCTCTATAAATAGCAGGTCTATAGCATGTATTAGGAGCTTTTTCGCTCTTATATCAGACCCATGCTCTATAGAGAAAACTCTCTCCGTTCTAGTAACCCACACTTTCAATATATAAAATGGTCACAGAGACCTGGATTATTCTAGTTCGCCTTTACGAGGCAAGTTTACGTGTGCTCTTCTATTTATTTCTCTCTGCTTCTCCATCAAGGTTCCCACGGCTCTGGTCCTTGGGCATGCTTATAGGGCAAATTTGGATTTAACATCTTAAAATGTCGGATGAGCGTAGAGCATGCTACCAACAAGAAGGAAAGCGATACCAACGAGGAGAAATGTATCTCAAAGATACTATTAAACAAGAAGCATGCCAAGGAGTTCATGAAATAACATATATGGAGCTGAAAATGCTGTTTTTGTCGCCTTTCTAGAGGCTTTGACTAGGAGACGAGTACCACAAAATTAATGGCTGGTTCCCAACCATCGCAATGAGCCGACTGATCGTATTTGCACACCGCTCAATCAATTTCAGGCGACTGACACACTACTTAGTGATAAAAGGAGTATAAATTCAAAAAACTTTTCTGATGCTATGACAAAATTATCTTAATTTCTTCCTAGGTCCAATTAACACTAGGGAACTTGAATCCAAGGAATAACACCGACAACAATTCCCAAGAGGTTCGGTCGGCATAATAGCATACAACACACCCACATCGAAAATCTTGGTCTCTAAGCTTGAATTGGATAAAGCTCTAGAGATGGTTTCTTAAGTAGCGACAAGCTCCGTGAAAGGTAAGACACAAATCACCATATTAGCTAGTCTCGATGGTTACCCCCATGAAGGCAACGACTAGATCCGCTTAAGTCCTGATGAAAGTTGAGGCCCGACCGGGGGGACGATACGAACAAATAACTGAGACTTGAGAAAGTATAAGACACGAGCCGATCGGTAATATCACAAATTAAGCGACAACAACGCCATAGACGTCCGATCGGTAAAACATAAAAGAAGGCGATCGACAACGATATTATAATCGTCCGATTGGCTTCTTAACAGCAAATTCGACCCACAACACCAAGTATAAAAAAACCAATATCAAAGCTCAATGTGGATAAAGGACATGAAGTGGTTCTCTGCCCAACAACGACGAGCTCTGTGAATGGTAAGACGCAAATCACCACAGTAGCGAGTCTCGACGGTTATCCTCGCGAAGGCAGCGAAAAGATTCACTTAAGTCCCGCAAAAGGTAAGAGCCGGCCGAGGCGACAAATTCGGTCGAAGCAATGCATTTGTGGTAGCAA